CCATGATGAAGTCGATCTTGCTTCGCGTGGACGGCCCTGCCGTTTTGCTACGAATTCGTCTGGCGGGTACAGATTGAGCAGAGAGTTCGTCTACCGCAGAAACTTCATTCGATGGCTGGACATCTAGATTAGTCGTACCGTTGAGAGTATCCATGAAGGCGGAAGAGCGAACCCCGCTGTTTTCGCCAAAGTCGGCGCCTTTTTCGATCGATGAGAGGATTTCCGAGGTATCTAGAGGGTCGATGTCGAGCGAAGGCGCGTCATTTCTGTCACGCAATCGATTGTTCTCTTCTAGATAGTCGGATTCTCTACACTCTTGTGGCCGATCTTCATTGTCCTCGGATTCTCTTGCAGGTCCAGCAAGAATTGATTCTCGAGAGTCATCGCGTCGCGACGATGACCGCAACAAGTACCCAACAGACCCTGGAATAGGTTGTTGTTGGTTCTCATGGGTATCCGGATTCTTGCTGCTTGCTTGCGTATCTGCGCTGGACATTTCGACAGGCGCAGCTCCAACATCCAAGCTAGCAATTTCTGTGTGTTGATGACTCTCCGATAGTAGACGGCCCTTCAAGCTTCGTCGCAAGGACGTCATTCTGGAGGGAACTCTATCTTGATTCGTGAATTGATCACTGTAGTCAAGGATATTCTGAGAGTTTGATCTGGCTGCTTCTTGTTCTGGTGTCGAAATTCTTGAGCTATTGGAGTCATCGGCAGATTGGCCGTCTGAGTGATTGCTAGACTGCGGAGTCGGCATTTGCGTAGAAGACGAAACAGTCTCTAGGTGATGAGACCGGGTCTGTAGTGCTCCAACCACTGGTATCAGCGCGCTCGATCCTGCGACACTGGTGTCGCGTTTGCGTTTTCCCAGGCTGTTCTTGTGGGGTACTTCGTATGATGAGCTTGGAGTGGATTGTCCAGTGGCGGTAATCATAGCCGATTGCACGATATCCCACTTGGCTCGAAGTGCGGCGTTTTCAGCACGAAGTTCTTCTAGCTCTTGCGCATTCGCCTGAGCCGATGTCAGGGTCATGATCATGGTGCGGATGTTGCCCGCGAAGTCGATTTGTGTTGGCTTATCGAGACGAGGGGGCGAGGTTTGAGCCTTAAGTTCTTCGATAGATGTCTTGATCTCATCTAGCGTGTTGCGAAACGTCTCTAAGACCGAAGAGATGGCTTGAATCTGGGCATCGTGCTCCAGCGTTTTGATCTCATGGTCTACCATTCTCCGATCGTGTGGTGTCGAGCGCGCATCTTGTATGGCGTGCTGGGTCAATGTTGAGTCCAGAGACTCTGTGTCTGGTGGGGTTCTAAATGGTGTGTTTCCGTGCCTATCTTGCGATGTGATGGGTGCGGAAGTCCCCCTTTGCGACTCAGTCAACAGTTGGAGATGTGGAGGCATCTCTTGTCTATCAAAGAAGGTGCGCGAGCGGCGAGCGTGGGCAGCCATGCTCACAGCCGAAGTGGCATTCGATCTTGCAGTTGATCTGACCGCGTCCCCAGCGTATCCAAAAACAGGATCAACCTGCTCATTAGTCTCCCTGCTCTTCAAGTATGTCCTCGATAATTTGTATAGATACTGATTTCTTTAAACTCGTCAGTCTCACGTATCTTTCTTCTACTGCGATGGAATCTTACATACAACATATTTCTCTGGGCGGCTGCAGGAATCATCTTGCAATACTGTCCAACCGCCGCGGAACATTTTGTACAAAACACTTCAGCAAGAGTGCATCCTTCCAGAGATCGCTGTGTGACGCCTTCAGGGACGACTTGTGTTTTGTTGGTCGCAATCTCAGTCCCGAAGTGAGTACCAGAGTGAACGGGACGAACGTATGAACTCGTGAGGCGGATCCATTCGTTATTGAAGGTACCGATTTGGCTGTCGCATTGAAGACAGTGCAGGTTGACTTGTGGAGAAGCAGGTTGCGACTTGCGGCGGGAGGAGGTAGTCATGTCGATATCGTTGCCGCCGTTCAATGCTGGCAGCGGACATTGACTGCGACTGCTGGTATTATGTGCAAAAGGCGTACGAAGGGAAAAAGGGATGGTGGACTGTGAGGTGCGGCAAAAACGCGTGGAGGCTTAACGCGACCTGCGCTCTGAGTTTCTGGAGTTACTCGGCACCGCGGTAGGAGTCGTGTCAAGGCGGGGGCACGTGGGGCCAAGCCCGGCTCATCTAGGCAGGTGAAATCCGTCTAGGCAGTGCCTAAACCTCCCAAGCCACTTAACCCACCCCTATCCCACCCTTAACCGCCATTGCAGGCGTCAGCCAAACGCTGCTAAACTCATGGCAAAGTCATTGGATCTTGATGCGCGCATCGCCGCTCCCACCTCCACCCGTGTTACACTGATCGAGCACACACTCACGCCTTTCGAAATCATTGCCTTCTACCGATGTCGGAACAACAATCATCTTTGAAAGTCTCTTCCAGATGCTTGCAGCAGCATCTAGACAAGGGTTGAATTCTGCGGCCAAAGTCCGCATATCATCAGCGCGATCGACGTGCCAATTGCATCCACTATCGGGAACCCTCAGATTGTCTTCAACCAGAGGCATCAACCACTCCAGTTACAAGATGGCTACCTCGCATACCAATGGGGGCGAACCAGATGCCTTCGCCGACGTCAAACAGAGCTCTACCATCACAGAAGCGAACAGCAATGCTGCCTCACACAAAAGGGTCAATGCCTGGCAACAACCTGGCCCAGCTGCTCTTGATTTTCGCAGCGATGTAATGACTACACCCACGGCATCCATGCTCGATGCAATTGCAAATACCACGCTGCTGGATGATGTCTTCCTCGAGGATCCAACCACTAACGAGTTGGAGTCCTCTGTCGCTGCGCTGGCAGGCCATGAAGCCGGTCTGCTCGTCATGTCGGGCACAATGGGCAACCAAGTCGCACTCCGCAGCCATCTGGTCCAACCACCTCATTCGGTGCTTTGCGACATCAGGGGCCACATCCACAACTACGAGGCCGGCGGTGTGAGCTGCCTCTCGAGCGCCATGCTGATTTCCGTCACCCCCAGCAATGGCCACCACTTGACTCTCGAGGATGTCCAGAAACACTGCATAATCTCAGACGATGTCCACGCTTGTCCGACCCGAGTCATCAGCTTAGAAAACACCCTCGATGGCATGATAATGCCGCTTTCTGAAATCCGTCGCATCTCCCAATTCGCCCGCTCCCACGGCATCAGACTCCACTTGGACGGTGCGCGCATCTGGGAAGCTGTCGCCGCCGACGCCGGCAGTCTCCCGGACTTCACACGCGAGTTTGACAGTGTGAGCATGTGTTTCTCCAAGGGACTCGGCGCACCCATCGGCTCCATCATCGTTGGCAGCAAGCCCTTCATCGCCCACGCGCGACGAATCCGCAAGATGCTCGGCGGTGGCACCCGCCAAGCGGGCGTCATTTCCGCTGCTGCCCGCGTCGCCGTGTCCGAGAATTTTGGCCACGGTCCCAACGGCGAAGGCGGCAAGTTGCGTGACAGCCACGCCCGGGCAAGGAAAGTCGCAGAGCTGTGGACGGCCAAGGGTGGCAAATTGGCCAACCCGACGGAAACCAACATGGTCTGGCTGGATCTTGCAAATGAAGGCTGTTCGGCGGATGAGTTCGCCGAGCTCGCGAGCAAGGAGGGTCTAAAGGCCCGGGGAGGACGGTTGGTCGTGCATTACCAGATCAGTGACGAGGCGGTCGAGAGACTGGGAAGAGTCATGGATGCTGTCCTACAGAAGAAAGAGAAGTGATGGACAGAAATAGAGTCGACAATGTCAACGGGCATTGAGCATGTTCTTCAGATAGACAGTAGACTACAGCCAACCACCTGCAAGGGAGGATTGTCCAACACGGCGCGATTCTATTCTCAGCAGAAACACTGAAAGCTCGGATCATGATATTTGATTTGTGAAAGCGCGATATCGCACAAGAAAGTCCCAGCTGCCCAGTCAACATCCCCGTCCGAACGTGTCCTTGCTAGAAGTGATCAAGTGGCGTCGTTGGAATTTGTCGGACCGGTTGCTCCACCAAGGAGGCATTTGCCATTATTGCTTCTACCTTCTCGAATCGCAAGACAAGATCCTTTGGCACGCTGCCCGCAGAAAGTCCAGCAGTGGGAATCCTCTTGTGCCCCGTGTCACTCTCCATCTGTTTTCCAAGCCGACGTCATGAGAGAGAAGGCTCATTCAAGCACTTGCAAAGCACTGCATGGTTGCCAATTCTTTGCCAATTCTTACACTGTTGCGTCTTTCTCCCAATCCTCCTGTTCCCAACAAGCATGACTCGCCTTTGTCGCCGTTATCGATTACAGCAGTCGACTCTTTTGGGAGCCTGACTTCTGTATCCAACATTGGTCTGCTGAAACAATGACCCGCCAATGGCCCTCCAGCATAGCCCTGAATCAATCTCTCGAGAATATCCTTTCTGACAGCGAGCCCAGTTCGCATATCGCAAATCCTTGGAAAGAAAATGTATTCAATCAACTCTCATCGAGCAGTGCACATCTCCAGACATGGTCAAGGAGTGGCAAAGAAACGAACTCCACGGCTCAGAGGAGTAAAAAGAGAAACCTTCAAGCTCGAAAATTGTTGTGTAAATTGAAGCACCGCTTGCTGTGAAGAATGGTAATGAATTGTGCCCAGCGAAGCCGTAAAAGCGCTCGATGCACCGCCGGCCAGGACTTGGAAGCTCAATTGTTAGAAACCTTGTGAGGGAGCACAAGTAAAGAAAATTCCACGAAAGCTCTGCAATTGTGGGAGTTATGCATGGAAGGCCGCCCGTTGTGTCCCCTAGTGTAGCACCGAACAAAGGAAAAGTGTTTTCGTGTCATAATGGTCGTGCGAAAGTTTGGTTTGACTGATATGGTCCTTCATCCGAGTTCGACGCCTCTGACTTGAGGCAAATCCGACATCACGCCCAAGAAGCCAGTCAATGAGGAGGAACGCCGTCTCGAGAATGTAGATGAAATTTTTTGCGTTGAATCTGAATGTGGTGTCTCAACCTGTGACCCCCATTTGCCCCGGTCTCGGCTGGTAGCTTTGTCTTCCACCTGGTCCACCTCCACGACTTCCGCTGCTATCAGCACTTCCTGCGCGGTCTCGAGCATAGGGGCTGTTGGGGACGCCGAAGTTGAACTCATGTGCCGGTGTCGATGTCGCTGAAGCCATGTTCTGTACAGGCCTGACAGAACTTTGCTTCTGCCACGCAGTGGCCTGGTATGGGTCGACATCCACCCTCGTGGCGACAGGTCCAAGCGAATTCGAAGCCGATACGGGGCTGCGGACTGGTGCATCTGGTGCCGCAACTGTCTGTCTCTGCACCTGGCCCTTAGCAATATGGCCGTATCGGGACAATATCTCCTTAGTTGTAAGTTCTGCAGATACGCCATGAAGATTCGTGTCGGTCAAGATGGACTGTAGATCCTCGGGCACCTGTGGATAAAGTTAGCTCTTGCAACGATAGAATATAGATTTGTTGGCTTCATACCTGACAGAACAGATCATTATATTCGATCAGGGTGTTGACGGCTTCAATGGCGAGGAAGCTTTCATCAACCTGAGGCACTTGAGGCTGCCTCGCGCCTGGTGCCTTCTCTTTCGCGTACAAGATATTTGGGGCCATGACGGTAGCCAAGTTGTGGATGTCCATTTTGCTGCCAGACTCCTCATCAACTTGAGAGAAAGAGGCTGCCCATTTCAGGAATGAGAATAGCACTTCCATAGTATCGCGGTGACTCTTTGGCATAAGACAGCATGTGAGATGCAGAACCCTCCTTCGGCGTTCGTCGTCCACTATCTTTTGAGAAGTGATGAACAGCTTTTGTAACTTGTATGTCAGTAACGGCTCGGGCATCTCTCTCAGGAACTTCTTGAGCAGTGCGGCAACCTGTACCGGGTTTTCTCGGTTGAGGTCGGGGGTCTGATTTGCATCAATCGCTTCTGCCGTCTCTTTGAGGCGTTTGATGTTGCCATTCTTTCGGAAGACGCCTTCAACCGACATATCCATCTGTTTCATGGCTGATACACAGTCATCCACAATTGCTGGAACTGTGAGAGCGCCAGGTCCGACTCCGTTGGTTGATTCTGCTCCCTCACGCTCAACCAGTACCTCCAAGGGGACGCCAAAAGTGCCTTTCTTCTTGACACCAGCATCACCACGGAGTGCACGACTGACTTTACCCCAGAATGTCTGCTTTCGCTGCTCGATCAGACCCAGTAAATCCTCGAGGGTGTATTCCCCATCCAGCAACGGCTGCATCGAAAGGACTGCCACATGTCGGACAATAAAATACTCGAGTGCGGATAGTTCCGAGAAGTATCTTTTGGTTCTGAGGGGATGTTCACCAGCCAGGAGATCAGCACCACCACCAGATGAGTTTCGCTGATGGCCATTGACCAGTCGAGGTTCATTGCCCCGGTGACCAATCAGGTTGGTGCCTGCATGACGGAAAGCGTTCGGCCGTTGTTCTTTTGCCTGCTCTGCGGCAACAATCCGTGGAATATCATCCAGGGTCAGGCCCTCTTGATTATTAAATGTAAGTTCCGATTTCATGCGGCCATCAAGATCTTTCTCCTGAACGATCTCAAAGCCACCCGGGTTTCGGTGATCGTGACCTTCAGCTCCTTCAGAACCTGGTCGCACACCAGCTCCGTCATAGAGGATTCGGGATTCACGGGCCTTTCGGAACGTCGTGGAAAGAGCGCGTTCATTGCGTGTAGACCGAAGTCGTTTCATCTCGCCCACAGTCTGTTCCAGTGATGACTGTTGTTGGCTCGATGTGCCTGCGTAAGATCTAGATCGTGATCCCATCATCTGGTGAGGCATGACCGGTTCCCCAGAACCCGATATATGATGTCCATCATTGGTTTTGTATGGAGTCAGGTTGGGATCATCAGATGTATGTGGTAGAGTACCGCCAGACTTTAGCACCTCAAGCAAGCGTGCCAATGCGACCCGGAGTAAGAAGACATATTGCTGTTACTTCGTGACGTGGGCGAATCCTGAGACCGTATCCGGCGTCCGTTTTGCATGATCAACGCAATACACCTTTTCTTCTCTTTCGTTATACATCGCAATGCCGAGGTCGCTGGTCAAATCTCGCTGGCAGACGCTGCAAGTAAGATGACGGGGCTTTACATGCCATCTGCGGCCGTAAATCATAACACATTCGTCGTCGATGGGTTCCATGCACGCGGAGCAGCAGTCTGATTCTTGGCTCGCAAGTCCTGCCACACTCTCTTGTAGATCCAGTGATTTCATCTCCTGCTCTTTAATTGTTTCCAGGTCGGCAAGCTCATCCAAGAAAGCATGAAGGCCTTCCGGAGATCCCTTCTCACGTTCGAGTTTCAGCGCTCCTTGGAGACCAATGCGAATAAGTAACTTGAGGTAATGAGCCAGGCCAGTAACCAAGGACAAGAGTTCTTGAGTGACGCCAAGTTTTCGCACCCCAGTCTCCTGAGTTTTCGAGAGAAGCGTGAAAAACGCCACAACTTTCTTACATAGCAATTTCGCTTCCCGGCCATAGGCAAGTTCTTTGAGTTGAGCCTTGATAATCAAAGCTGCGAGGGTATCGATAGCACCGAATAGGATATCCACATGCCAGATGAATTTCCGAGCAACAATGACTCCATCGACGTAGACGCCATTACTGACATGTAGAAGCATATCTGAGATGCAGGAAGCAGAGGATTCTTCGAAAGTAGATAGCGTGCTCCAGATTCGATAGACCTTGTCCTCCATCTTTTCCTCGTCCTCCTTGACTGTTTCCCGCTCATCCTCGGTAACGGGGGCGTGCATGTCTCTCCTCTCCACGACTGCCTCAGATTGTGCAAGTCGGACATTCCAGAATTTATGGATCATGTAGCATTCGGGGTGCCAATGTTGGTTCTGACCATTTCGGAAGATCTCGACAAATTGTTTCAAAATAGCAGTCTGACAACCATTGCACCGCTGCGCGAACTGCGTAGAGTAGTGGTAGTGGCAGTAAACTCTCCCGTCATGCTCGTAATAGCTGTCCTGGGCGCCGAAAACGGTCGGACAAACCGAACATGTGAAGTGCTCGATGTGATATTTTCGATCCAGGGCTGTGATGTAGGAGCCACGAAGTGCGCCGCCGCATTCGAAGCATAGCAGGTCCAGACGGCGGAAGTAATCTGTTTCGCATAGGGGAAATTGTCCAGATCCATCCTCGGCATCCACAGGGAAGAACTTCGAGGCGACAATTTGGCCGCAGTCGGCGCATTTGAAACAATCGAGGTGAAATGTTCCCCCAAGCGCACGGACGAACTGACCAGTCAGAGGCTCACCACACTTTCTACATTGTCTGGTTCCCGAATTGGATGACTTCCCGGCACTGCCATTTGTTCTTGATCTGCTCCGTTCTCCTTGCCCACCCACGGATCTCTTTCTTCCAGTCCTGCTATCGGAGGAATATCTGGCATCACTATCGTACGGAACTTCATTTGCGTTGCCGTTTGCCTGGGTTGGCGGAGTGTATGGGTACTGACCGTTGGAGTTCTGTGGAGCATGTTCATTCTGGTTGCGAGAAGTGCCTATGGTGTATCTCATGTTGCCAGAGTTCCCCTGGTGCAGCTCGTCAAGCGGGGCTGCCATGTTTGAAATATGCTCAGAAGGCGTTGCATGAATATATGGCAAATGGGCCAGTAAACATTCGACGCCGAGAGTCTCTTCGACACTTGTCTTGCTGCGGACTCAATTCAACCGCACCCGAGGGAAGTGACTGACTTTTGTCGGATGACCGTGTTGTGCGCGTCTCTTGCCTGAGACTGTAGCAAGTCCATGCAGCAAAACACTCGGAGAATTAATGAGGGACGAGGGGAATCGTGGAGATGTTGTGGTGCTTTACCGGTTAAAGTTGTCGCAGCCAATGCCCAGGCTGGATGTGGATGTGACGAAATTGAAATAGTCGAAGGCGTGTCGATTGTGCGGTTCTTCGCGAAGGACACTCGAAAATGTCCCAGCCCAGAGAACGGTAGTAGAGGGTGAAGGAGGCTCTGACGGAGCGCGAGGGACAAGGAGACGGAGGTCGGACAAGGAGTGGGAATCGAGGAGACGACGCGTTGCGGCAAAGTTTGGGAACTTGTGAGACAGCCGGCCAGGAAATATGCGCAAAAGAATAGGATGAAGTTGATGGAAGGTCTTGACAGTTGGTCGAGTGTGCCGTCGAGAAATGGTGGCTTGTCAGATCAGATCAGATTCATCCATCAAAACGATGAAATGTGAGTAGCGTGAATTGCTGGACGGGACGTTCGACAGAGGCCCAAGCCCCGAATGGGCCAAATTTAGCAAGGCACAAGGCCGTTCGGAGAATTGGTCCTGTCACGTGCCTGGGCGCTAAAGAATTAGCGCCCCCAGTGAGCTGAGCGTCCGCTGATTGGACAACATTGTCAGCCTCGCCAGGGTCGGTCATCATGACAAGGGCAGTTGTCGCCAGAAGGACGGCTTATGGGATGTTGGCAGAAATGGAAACAAAGCGATGAGAGGTGAAAAGGAAATAAAAATAAAAGGTCCAGTTGATGTTAACACTAACATGCCCCCAAATAAAAGCGGAGACCGACTTGGACAAGACTTGGACAATAAATGTCCGCTCCCAATTCCATTCAATATACAGCTTCTTCCTTGCATCCTCCCCGTTCACACAGCCCCTGCCTAGTTCTGTTTCGGGATTCTCACGAAGACAACTCCGCTTTTCACCTCTATCTTCGTCCCGTTGGCGTTCGCTTTTGCGGGCAATGTAACAGAACGCTCAAAGAGTCCTTCATGTCTCTCCTTGTGAACAGTCTTCATGATCGTGCTTCCTGTCTCACCGAAAGTCGGGATTGACGATGTCTCCTTTTTCCCACGGACGAAGATAGTACTACCATCCAACCACTCAATCTTGATGTCATCGGCAGAATCGATCCCCGGCAGATCGCCAACCAGAAGCCATCCCCCTACATCCCCTTCTATTTCGAAGACGTCGAACTTTGGAGCCAGTACCCCGCGATGCGATGGTAAGCCGTCAACGTTGTAGTAGGCGTCACCCACATGATTGAGCTTGGCACGCAATGAGTGCGTGTCAATCAACGAGATGTGGTGAGGGTGGAGCAGGCACTCAAGTGTTGACATGATGAGGTTGTCGGATGCCGTTTCAGATTTTTGATGGTTTTGGAGGAGTGTTGAAGTTCAAGATCGAACGTTTGATTGTGATATTCAACAGTCGGCTTGTGCAAATCAGGAACCTTTCTGGAATTTGCAAATGCTTTGGTGGGTCTCTGCCAGGGAAAAGAAGCGAAAGGTGGTCCTAGCGAGCCCTTCCTTACATATTTGTACTTGTAGTCCATCCCTTTCCCCTGCCTGTCCTACAGATATGTAGACACGTGCGACGCATTTGATCCCAGCGCCACGGCCCCAGGTCTGGGGTCCAGCGAGAAGCTTCTGCAAGATTTAGCCAAGTCGGATACGAGGATCACAAGTTGAGGATCGAATGCTTCGGCCTGCACGTGTCGTCGACATCCCACGTCAGTGGATCGTAGGCAACCATCATCATTCAGGAGACAGTTAGCCAAGACTTAGCTATTTGCTTCAAGGCAAATGAGCGGACAGAGATTGAAGGTGAGTAGATGTATTGTCGGCACGTGTGGCGAAAAAACCTTCCTTCCACAAGCACAACTAGACACCCCTCTACTTGTAGGATCATTTTAGATCATATGGTATCATATGGTATCATACGATAGAGAGAACTTTGAAGAGGACACGGACCGGTTCAACAAAGAAGAAGTTGGAATAAACCATCAGAGTACAAGTAGTTTCCAAGAAACAAGGGCAGCTAGTCGTTTGCCGAGGATGTATTTGGCATAGCCAGTTTGTAATGACTGTCATTCCACGGCGTCATTGAGGTCCCTCCAGTTCCTGACTCCCCAGTATCTGGCCCCCTCTGAGATGCCTCCAGAGACGGGGCTGGCTAACAATCATGAATCGAACACGGGACTTCCATGGAATGTTCTATCTGAATCTCCCTCAGTCCTGCGCCAGCTTAAGCTGTCTCCCTGGAGGCCGTCTGAGGCATCGAAACGGACTTGGTAATCACGGTACATTTGTTGCGTAATGACACCCACTCAGCAATGGGAACATCACTCCACTCCTGCATATCACCACCTCGCCATCTCATGATGATGTGAGCTACTTTCCCCTTGTAGTCATGAGATGAGCACCCAATGACAACTTTCCAAGTCCCGTAGCTCTTCATGTCAAAGACAGATCATGGAGTTTAGCCCCTCACTAGAAGTCATTTCATCGGCTGCCACCGGAGCCAAACCGACCTCCCCAAGGACCCAGACCTTTTCCAGGACCTCGCCTATAGCAATAGCTCCGAAAACCAAGTCCATGGCACTGCGAGAGAGCTCAATGGTCACAAGATCTCAGAGGTTCTCAGTCGGCACACGAAGGACCGAGCAATGGGGAGCTCGAGCTCTGCCGCCAGGATCTTGCCCCGCCTCGAGCTCTAGAATCAGGTAGGGGTAAATAAATATGCGTGTCCCTCTCCGACTCAGCGAGAACTCTTTCGCGTTTTTCTCCTCAGAACTCCATTGATAAATACTAGAGCAGCTGCAGTGCAGAGGCACATCACTACAAGGACAACCGCAACCAGAAGCGACCTTACAACCTCAATTTCATTTGAAACCCCTTGTCAATCTCAAGAAAAGACATCCCAAAAGCAATGGCCTACGCGTACTACTATGACTACCCACCTCCATTGGTGGACAACCCTCATGAGCGACACCACCAGCACCAGTCACTCCTCCAATACATCGCGCGCCGTCACCCAAGACCAGAAGACCACCCCAACCAACCAGACTTGGATTTCCGCGATGCTATCAAGGAATACCTCATCGAGATCGAAGTACCAGGCGTCAAGAAGCCCGAAGACATCACCGTGACCTGGACGGGCAACCGATCCCTACTGCTGTCGGGCAAGGTCGAGAGGCCAGACTATGGCAATGCCGAAAACGCAAAGGTGGAAGAAGAACAAACAGAGCCTCACGCGGGCGGAGTCCACCTGTTGATTGGAGAGAGAAGAGTCGGCCCTTTTCGCCGATACGTCAATTTCCCGACCGACGTAGAGAACGTCAACGTCACGCTGGAGGCTGGTTTGTTGAAGATTCGTGCGCCCAAGAAAGGGTTCCAGGATGTTGCCAACGCAAAGGTGGATGTCAAGCACGAGTGAGTTAAAAATGTGGTCTTTATTTTTTGATCTCGTCTCTCTTGTATCTAGTCTGCTCGCATGCCCTTTTTATTTTCTCAGGTATACAGCAAAACACTAATATTCATCTCTCCGTTGAGGGATCATAAAAAGCACACCTTCCCCGTCCTGAACACATTCGCTGGCCTCTAAGTCTTGTGATTCAAACAATGCGAAATGGATACTGGGGGGCCCTGCTGGATTCAAAATGGCCTTCGATTGATGGAGCGCGGAACAGAGGGAAGTGGAGACAAGCGGGCAGGCGGGCAAGCGAAGGGCTGTCGGGCATTGGGAAAGATTCACGAAGCGTAAAGGAGTGGCAATGCACCTCGGAAGGTATATCTAAGATCTCCGCCACCATGTCGGATGTTTCGGGAACAGAAGGTCACAAACCATCAAATGATAACCTGTCGTTCTCATGTCGTTAGCCGAACTCTGGAGTCAAGTTCACTATTCGGTCTTCTTGTCGCACCGAGATCCCGTAGCATGGTGTTGGGGGGGGGGGGGGGGGGGGGGTTGAAGACATCCAGCTCCCGTTGTCTCCTGCGACTCGGAATTGCTTTTTCACAGAGACTCTCGTCGTAGTGCTCTAGTGCCTGTAGTCCTGTCTGCACCTCCTGCAAACCCGCATATCGCAAACATCACATTCCCATAGAAATTGATCAGCGTGCCAGCCACAGTCCGAGCAACGGTCATCATCACTAGAGTATACCCCGACCCTGGTCCAGTTGTCGTGACGGCATTCACCCTGACCTACGATTTCTGCGATAATTCGCTGCACATCGGCGGTCCGATCCTGGAGTACGGCGATGGCTTCAGCCCGCTGGAGGAGGCGATCTTCACGCCATTGCTGGCATTGACAGGTTTTCCAGGGAGCATTGCAATTGTAGCAGAATTCCGTTCCACAGTGACACCTGTGAAGGGCATCAGTATACATCCTTGGTCGTGTTATGGTCAACCACCTACCTCATATGATTGCAGCCGTGCGAGATGATGATCACACGGTGACAGTTGGGGCATGTCGATGCTTCATTCGCCGTTACCCAGTCGTTGAAGGCCCTATCCTGGGATTCGTTGCAGGTGGGAAGGGAGTGAAACTCGGCTTTGCACATCACACAAGTGTGTTTCTGACACGAGGGGCAAGTGGCCATTCTGTCTGCGAACGTGTCTGGGTCAATGAATGTCGAGCAAGTAGGGTCGTGGCAGTACGTCCGATCGGTTGTGGTATATTCCTTGATCTTCAACTCCAGCTTGGCGACTGATTCCTCTCCCAGAAGTCGTACAATGGTGGGATTTTGATGGGAGATAATGGGAAGTCTCCGGCAGCATCGGACAGGATATTGGCTCTCGTTCTTCAAAACCAACTCGAAACGTTCCAACAGACACGGACGGCACCAGAGATGCTCGCACTCTTCATGACTGATGAGTTGAGAATATGGAGTATTTCCCATGCAAGCGTAGCACTCTGCCGATGAATGAACTTCGTCAGCCTCAAGATCGTGTACGTACGCTTCTAGACTAGTACTTCCATCGGGTTGAATTCGGGGGTCCTCGTAGTATCCATCTTTGCCCACGACTCTGGTGGCTGAGTTGTTGTCTCTCTGTTCGGGTTGTTGATTTTGTTTACCGTTCGTGGCATGCGTTTCTTGTGCGAGTATTCTGTCAACTTCCGGGAAGTCTGAGAGCATGGCTCGGTAGATGCTCTGCTGTAGTCTCGCGTTTGCTTGTTGGGTATCGAATATCGCAAGTTCTTCAAGTTGGAAGTGAAGGGTAGCGACGCGGTCGCGGATTCGAGCCTTCTCTTCATTGCTGGGAATTGTCGTCAGGGACGTTTCTAGATCCTGTAGCTCAAGTTGGACTGCCAAAGCGGCATTTGCCGCATCGATATCTGCCATGCTGTGGCTGTTGACGCATGTTAGCAGATCGTAAGACTGTTGACGGATCTGTTACTTAATGTCTTCGACCGAGAGGCGCAGTGGTTCTCGAATGGGGACCTAGAAGTCTTCTACAACCGACATCATCCAGCCGGGCGAAGCTCTAGCCAATAAGTCAGGTAGATAGACAAGAGCGGGTAGGGAGGTTTTATTTGCACCTTGATTGGGTTCTTATTAAGAGAGAACGAAGGTCATGTTTAGTGACAGTCGTTGGGGGGAGATGTAAAAGAGTCACCCACAGGTGAAAATGTACTACGGGATCTACAATTCTGCCAGACCTTGTGTGTCGCGACTTGATGAGGGTCATAGCGGCCTTCGTACTGTCTTGTAAATACTCACTTACTAGATAGACCATGAAGCATGAACATCGGCTTCACACTCGATCTCTCAGGCAAACGTCACTGCCGTGCTCGGATGAGATTACAACTTATGTAGAAAGCAGTCTCTTTAGAGGGGTTCGATGCGACGGTGAAAGTCAGGGGGGCAGCTTGCACCAGTCTACGAGTATCTCGTACCATGGCTGAGACAAGTCGTCACCGAAGAGTAAGTGGTGACATTCGGAGTACGTTGCAGGTATGGATCCAGCCTCGTAGCCTCGCTAATTAACATGGTCCACAGCCACCACAGCGGTGAAGACATCCGAGGTGGCACCATATGTTAGTTACATGCATCCTTCTCCACACTAGAATTTTGGGGATTCAAAGATTCCAATCAACAAAACTATTTGTCTTCCTGTGTTTGTGCCTTTCCATGTACAAACGTCCTGAATACTACTCGTTGACTTGAGCGAAACCTCATATACACTTTGCTGAACCTCGTTTCTTTGCTTTGCGAAAGTCTACATCCCATCACACCATGGCTACCAACGGCGTCCCACATCCTAAGCCTTCCCTCCCCTCAGTCTACATCGTCGCTGTTGCACGAACACCTGTTGGGTCATTTCTCGGGTATTGACCACGCGCATTTTGCATGTTCAGTATCACTGACATGTTCCAGCTCGTTATCCTCACTGACAGCTCCGCAACTCGGTTCTCATGCCATCAAAGGTACCTCTCCTTCCCCCCCCCCCTCCCCGGGGCGGGGGGCCAACCGCCCTTCAATCGCCTGTAGTATATTGACTGAATACAGCTGCCCTCGAAAGAGTTCCGGAGATAAAACCCCAGGATGTGGAAGAAGTGTTCTTTGGAAATGTCTTGTCAGCAAAGTGAGTTCTACATGCTTGCAATCCCCATTGCGATCCGTTCTAAACGCTCCACAGTGTCGGCCAGAACCCTGCCCGCCAATGCGCTCTAGGTGCTGGCCTAGACGAGTCGACTGTCTGTACAACCATCAATAAAGTCTGCGCGTCGGGTGTCAAGGCCATCGTTCTCGGGGCGCAAACAATTATGACTGGCAATGCGGACATCGTTGTGGCCGGCGGCGCAGAGTCCATGTCGAATTGCCCTCACTATCTTCCCAACATGCGGACGGGAGCCAAATTCGGAAACCAGACATTGGTCGATGGTGTCTTAAGAGACGGACTGTCAGATGCATATGGGAAACAAGAGCATATGGGGATGCAAGGCGAAGAATGTGCTAAGGATCATGGCTTCAACCGAGAACAGCAAGACGACTACGCAATCCAGTCATATCAGAGAGCACAAGCTGCACAGAAGGATGGCCTCTTCGATTTCGAGATAGCTCCTGTTCAGCTGCCTGCTGTTCGAGGAAAACCCGGCGTCACAGTCGACAAAGATGACGAGCCAAAGAATCTGAATGCGGAGAAGCTCCGCTCAATTAAGCCAGCATTCATCCCGAATGGCGGCACCGTGACTGCTCCCAATGCCTCGCCCCTCAATGATGGTGCCGCAGCGGTAGTCCTTGTCTCAGAAGCCAAGCTCCAAGAATTGAAGATCAAACCACTGGCGAAGATCTTGGGCTGGGGTGATGCGGCCAAACAGCCAAGCAAGTTCACCACCGCCCCTGCACTCGCCATACCGAAGGCCCTGAAACACGCCGATGTCAACCAGGAGGATGTGGACGCGTTTGAGATCAACGAGGCATTCAGCGTTGTCGCTCTCGCCAACATGAAGCTGCTCGGGCTGTCTGCGGACAAGGTCAACATTCACGGTGGAGCCGTCGCCATCGGTCACCCTCTAGGAGCTTCAGGGGCGAGAATTATTGCAACACTCCTCGGTGTCCTGAAGGCGAAGAAAGGCAAGATTGGATGTGTTGGCATCTGCAACGGCGGTGGTGGGGCGAGCGCTCTGGTGCTCGAATCTTTGATGTAAATGCATGGCGGCGCCAAATTGCTATGGGGCATAGATCAGCGGAGTACGAATCGTCAAAAAGGCTTCAGAGGAGAGTTGGTGTATGATCTGGCTTC